TCTAAAAGGTTTGCCATCACTGATATAGAGGGTATATACCCTATTGGTGAAAGCAGAGAGATTTCAGTTTTTCATAAGATATATGACAGTGAAAGGGAAGATTTTTCAGGAATACTAGTCTACAACTCTGCAGCAGTGCCAAATATTTTAAAAGATTCCATGAATTCCATCTGTTACACTGGTTGGCAAAATTAGGCACAAATTTCTCTTGTAATTCTACAGACCTATTAACTTTGCTGTATAATCTTTAGCTCCATGCTCCTTTCTATCTTCTCCTATTTAAGATTTGAAATGATACTTCCTTCTCTTATAATCATTGACCAGATACCCTTCAAAAAATGTTTTCGGTTTACTCCTTAGAAATTAAGTTGGCATGCTTCCTTGAAGCTTTGAGCTCAGCTTATGTAGGGTACACACTGCTCTTTGTCCAAACCAGTGTGTATTGTGTTTAAGCTCCCTAAGATTTTATTTTGGGAGGGTTGAGTTAAATTACATGCCTGTTTCTAGCAGTAGCAGAAAGTTATTTTGAAGAATGCCAAGAATCTGAAGGCCAGCTCAAATAGCTATGGTGATGCTTTGGAGAATTATGGCATCCCAGTGGAAGAGATGCACAATTCATCATCATTTAAAAAAACCCTCAAATTTAATGTATGTGCGCTGGGACTATAATACTCTGAATTATCAACAGTTCATGCTGGAAATCCTACCACTGTTTGAGAAAGCTAAAGTGGAACATGCTTACACATAATTATGTCCCTCTACTATAGGACTAGAATATAATAGTATATTGAGAGTGCAAGACTATAACTACTTATATGTGACTAAGATAACTAAATTTACTTCCAAGAAGAATTAAATTTAAAATTTTACTAATCAGAGAGACAAATAACTGGCTTGGATACTAAGATTCCTTGAAATCTTAATCAGTCTTCCTGTACTTAAAACTACTTAAAGTGGCATTTAAAAATGAGTTGATTTCTGGAAAGAACTTATCTCATAGAGCATTTCTAGCACTAAGATGCAATTGCTACTCCTACTGAAATAAATAGGGCTCCAGAAAATTTAAATTTGGCTGGACCATATCCCTCTTTTAGCAGAAAGTTTACAATATTGCTAAAAGAGGTATTGGTATATACTGTATTTGGTACAGTTCATCATGAAGGTATCACAATGTAACAAGAAAACATGGATGTATTATAAGATCTTTGTGTTTTGGTGGGACAGGAAGAAATATAGTTAAAGTTATGTTTAATGCTTCATCTTCAGAGAAAGCAGTAGTATTTTTTTTTTAATTCTGAGATTTTCTCTCAGATAAAGTATGTTTTAAATAATTCATAAATTAAAAAAATCCTACTTTTCAACTAAGCTTTCTGAATAGGATTGGTTTTCCTCTTCTGCATCCGATTTTACTATTGTAATTTGCCTGTTGCAATATTATTCAAATCAGTCTTAATAAACTATAGAAAGTCTTCTTTTTTCAGATAAGAGCTGTATTCTTTCTAAAACAGCGGCCCCCAACTTTTTGGGCAACGGACTGGTTCCGTAGAGGTTTTTCCGCAGACCGGAAGGGGTGCGGTTTCGCGTGCTGCCTGCATCTGGGGCTTCGCTTGTTTGTGCGGATGCATGTTGTGGCTCGGTTCCGCTCCATGGACCGGGGCTTGGGGACTCTTGATCTAAAACATTCCTGTAAAGAAATGTTGTTTGACAACCTGATTTAACACATTCTTGCCTACATTTTATCAGACATTCCATCTACAAATCTTCCCCAAATCATAGCCTTAAATCTTTGGGATTATGAAGTCATGCTGGCTGAGACTATGAGAAATCATGACAAGTAGGTTGGGGAGGCTGTCCCCCTCCCCATTTTTTTCAAGCTTCTATTTATAGTTACTCATTGCACTTGGAATCGAAATGTATGTATCTCTCTATTTTATCCCAACAGTTTTGTGAGGAAGGTTGGTTGAGAATAATTGGCTTAATGTTGCTCAGTGGTTAAACTGGGAGTTTCCGTAAGTTCAGCGGGATATTCAGCCTTTCTCCCCACTGGACCTAACTCAATGGGCCACAGTTCCTATGATCTCTCTTGAATCTTCACACAACAACAGCTTGGGAGTGTGATACCAACCAGTCATCTGTTGATTAATGGGAGGATGGGTAACTGGTCTTCTCTTAGGATCTGATGCCAGTGTTTCCTTCTCCACAGGGTGGGCAAGTCTGCCCTGATGAACCAGTATGTTAACAACCGCTTCAGTAGCCGCTTCAGAGCCACCATTGGAGCAGACTTCCTCAGCAAAGAAGTACACATTGATGGCCGCACCCTAATAGTGCAGGTAGGCCTGATACGAGGTGGACTTCTGACTACCCTTCTGACACACATTGAGCCAACATCTATGTTAATGTTCTCTTCCCACCATTGAATAAGCTAACTTTGGTCATTACCAAGCCTATCCTTTGCATGAATCACTATATAGTCAAAAGAGGATCTTGTATACAACCCCTCACACACAAACAAGATGATATCAGCAAGCCAGATTAAATATCAAAAAATGACGATAAGGGGTAAGAAGAAATGCAAGTAAAAAAACTCCCATAGTTTTTGGGGAGGGGGAAGGAACCCACAACAGACCAGTAATTGATCAGATATTCACTGAACTCACAATGGTGACTGTTGAACTGTGGATGGCAGAACATTTACAAGATAAAGCTCAACTTTCTTGTTGTTTTGTGAACTGGAAAGCTCCACATTAAATATTTTTGTGGAAATATTCCACTTGTCTCGACTTGTAAGACAAAAGAAATATGCTGTACGACTCTATGACTTTCATCAGAACAGGGATCACGTATATCATCAGAACAGACATCCATATTTTATCAGATACCTCTAGTATACAACAGCTTCCTCCCTCTAGCATTGTTTTGCCATTAGAAATATTCTTCAGCCGCTAGATATATAGAAATAATAGTAAAAGTACTTGCTTCCTGCTTCCTTCATTTTCTTATTTCTACAGATATACGGTATAGCAGTCTCAAATAAGCGATAACCCAATTCTTAGAAACTTCAGCTTTAGTATCTAAACTAGCTTATGCTTAAACTGGCTATGCTGGCTGTGGCACATGGAAGTTATGATATACCGCCTCTGGAAGATGGATCTAATAAAGTGCTTAAAGTAAGGACTTTACAGCTGTCGAGGCAAAGGAAGCAGTTCAATCAAAGCTTTCATTGCATGTGTTGTGACCATTCTCTGAGCTAATATTAACAATTACCCCATGCCAGATTTTATCACTAAATATCAAAACTTGGAACCATAAACTAACATTTCACTCATTTTTAAAAATACAACATAAAGCTAGAGCACTCCACAAAGGCGTAACATTCCTAAACCAAATATATCATCAGCTAATTGTTTTGAGAAGGTCTAGCTTGACCTGACTAAGTGTATGGGCCTTTTGGATTTTAAAAAAACCCCTTTTAATTCTGCACTAAAATGTTCATGGCAAAGAAAATGTAACTCATCCTGTAATGATGATCCTCTCATCTTGCCCATTTAAATTTCTCAGCACTTGAGGAGTCAGACCTTTTTTTTCTCTCTCTCCCCCCCCCCACGACTCAAGATCTGGGATACAGCTGGTACAGAAAGGTTCCATGCGCTGGGGACTGCCCTTTATCGGGGATCTGACTGCTGCCTGCTCGTCTTTGATGTCACATCTATCTATTCTTTTCAAGCCCTCGAGAAGTGGCACAAGCAGCTCTTGTTGCAGATTGAGCCAGAGGAAGAACCCACTTTTCCCATTGCCATCATTGGAAACAAGACAGACCTGGAGAATCGTGAGGTACATAGCGAACACAATGACGATAGATTGCAACTACTGTGCAAGAGCTCATGTAGCACCCAACTTATGTGTGAAGGGCTGTTTTAAAGATTAGGAACAGGGACTTTGTATAGTGGCCCTACAGAGCCTTGAAGGAAGAATCTGGATAGGTTTTTGGTGGCAGAGGCGGCAGAACCTGCAGGAGAGGTTTTACATGTATAGGTTCCATTTCTAGTTTAGGGTTGCAGGAGTGGAAAGAGGGCAAAGTGTGAAGGTATCTTGTCTTTAAGCAGGTTTCTTCAGAGGAAGCTGAAATGTGGAGCAGGCTTCATGATGCTACCTACTTTGAAGCCAGTGCCAAGACAGCTGCCAATGTGCCGGAGGTGTTTGAGTGGGCCATACGGGCTGTACTGAAGAACGTAAGGAATGCATTCACTCCAATTTGAATTTAAAAGCTTTAAAGCATGGCTATTCTTTTTTTTACATATATATAAATCCTGGATAACCCAACAGTGTGCCATCAAAATATGCTAACAAAATTAATAAGTGAAACAGCTAAAGGCAGTAAGAATGCATTATGCCTCCAATAAGGATAACATTGGAGAAAAGAGAGGGAAAGCTTCCATCCCTTCTTTAGGCTGAAAAAAAAATGAATACTATTAAATAATATAATAATAATAA